TTTGGTGTTTTTAAATAGTGAAATCCTTGTATAGTTCCTTAGCAATAGCCATGATTATATCACCAACTCATCACCTGTTGTAACTAGAAACATCATGAAGGTAGATGTGTTTGTGAGCCAAGATGGCAGCAGGACTAATCCAAGTGATTAAAGTTGCCTTCACGCCTTAGCAGTGGTACACTGGTCTTTTTGACAGATTAATAAAGTTGGCGGAAACTACTACCTCAACTGTGCTGTTTCATTTTTTCATAACCACATGTAAATGTAGCTGAGAATAATAAATTAAGACACAAAAGAGAAATAAGTTAAAACACTTAAACTATTACAATTAGATAGGTAATATTTTGGAAGCCCAATCAGCAAAATGATCAAACCTAAAATACATATTTGCATAAGGAAGTTTGTCTAGTTCTATTTTGAGAAAAAACAATTGGGTCAGAAACATAATGATAGTGAGAAAAAAAGAAAATTAATCTAAAATGAGTAACCTAGCCATCCAAAGAAACAAGACATTGATGAACCTTAGCAGGGGCTTCTATAGCTTTTTAATTTTTAAGTATTTAATATTTTAATGATTTTAGAATTTATAATTTAAGAAATAAAGCATTTCTCTAGCTACTAGCATACTATATAATGGTGTAATGAAATTTGCTTTTTCTCACATCATTCTTAGTCTCTCAGAATTGTGTGATATTAGTATTTTTGTTTCATGTTTCTATTCACATAAAAAATTTATATTTGAGTGAATTCATAAAAATAATTTAAAAATTATATGTTTATAGTCTTGTCTCTATTTTTAATATATCACATTATCAAGAAAACTAAGAAAAATGGGAAATATAGCTCATTAAATTTTGGTGCAAACATGAAGCTGCTTACCATGAAATGGAAATAAAAGTCATATAGAGGAAAAGGAAGAAAAATAAAGAGAGGACGTAAAGGGGGAATAATAATCTTCAATTCAAACTTTTTCTAATGTGTACATAGAACTTTAACTTTTGCCTTACTTTTTTCTTCCTGTATGTTATCTATAGTGCAGTGAAATAATCATAATGAACATGAGAAATGAACATAAGTTGAAATGTTCTTTTCAAAACAAATGACCCTCTAGTTAGATAGCACTCAGACAATTGGAATCTTGGAGCAGCCAGTGTTGCAGTGAGCTGGCAGTTTTAGGAGGAACACTCCCTGTTTCTATATCCACAGATCAATAACCTATATTCATATGTCCATCATCTGGCTTTCAACTAAAGTTGTAAAAGTGAAAGCATTTGAAGATGTTAGTTATAGACAGAAATATGTAGTGGGCTAAATATAATCCAACTAGAAGCCTGGTGCACAAAATTTTGTGCACGGGGGGGGGGGGGGGGGGGGGGGGGAGGGGTAGGGGGTGTCCCCCAGCCCGGCCTGGGCCCTCTCATAGTCCAGGACCCCTTGGGGGATGACCAACTGCCTGCTTAGGCCTGCTCCCCAGGGAGAGTGGTCATAAGCCAGCAGTCAGACAACCCTCTTGCAGCCCGGGACCCCTCGTTCCTATATCTCCCTAGCTTTGAGCCTGGCTTCTAGCTATGCAGCGCTCCCCCTGTGGGAGTGCACTGACCACCAGGGGACAGCTTCTGTGTTGAGCATCTGCTCCCTGGTGGTAAATGCACATCATAGTGACTGGTCGTTCTACCGTTTGGTCAATTTGCATATTAGGGTTTTATTATATAGCATGTGAATGGATTAAGCAGGGATCTTGATTAACATTTCTCATTTCACTCATTCTTATCTCTCTTTCCATTTTTAATTTAAGAAATAAGGCATTTCTCTAGCTACCAGCATCTCACCCTTTGGGTGAGAGGTGGATGGAATGGGAAGAGAGATAAGAATGAGTAAAATGAGTAATGTTAATCAAGATCCCAGCTTAATTCATTTACTTTGACTTTATCAAAACTTCTCAGTTTTCTCCTAAATTTTTTCAGTGTGATTTTATTCCATGAAAACGAGAGTATTATTTACAGACGAGATGTCAGTTCATTCATGCTGAAAAAGGTTCAATATAATGTAGGCTTGGTTTTCTTTTTCCTTTTTTTTTTTTTTTTTGCTTAAGAAATCCAGGCATCAAAGATTTACACTTTAAAAAAAAATCCATGGGTACTTAAAAAACCTTTTGAGATTGCATCCTTATTTCCACTACTACTTCAGATCAAGTTACACTTGTGCATGATGCGACCTCTCAATTGTTATGGACTTCTTTAACTTTTGCTTTTAGTCAACAGGTTTGTTTGTTTTTGCGGGGGTTGGGGGAATATAAAGAAACAAACCCTGTTTATAGAGCACATTAAATTCTATAACTTATGCAAACTCTTTCAAATTGTGTCCAAAAACTCATTGATGATCAGTTTGCTAAATTAAAGATGGGAAGTGTTTCTAAAAGAAGTAATTAAGAGATAAATCAATGCAATTCAGCAACTCTGAAAGACTTCCAGGAGCAGTCTCTATAAACAAGCAGATAGACTCACTTCATGAATAGTATCATTATAATAAACTATTGCTGAGGACCCATTATATCTAGAAACATTTATTTTATTTATTTCATTTAAGCCCCAAATCATCCCATGAGATATTTTCACTTCATGAGGTGTCCTGTTCCAATATATAATTGACCTCCTTGGGTCACATGATCAAGGGTGCCAAAGATGGTACCCAAACCATGGCTTTACCCATAAGATCCCATGCTTCTTATCTATGTTTAAAAAAAAAAGAAATTAAAACCCTTTACACCAACCACTTCTTTGCTAGGTGCTTCATCAAGGTCTTCCCATTGACCCCCCTTCACTTTTACTTCCAAAATATTGAATAGTGCCACAGAATGAAATGTGTGCAAAGGTGTCTGTCCAAAGATATTGGATAGCTTCTTTTGTAATTTTTAATTTTTAATTAAAACTTAGTGATTACATAAGTATCTGAGAGTTTGGAGAAAGTAAATTCTACTCCCAAAGTATGTTTGGAACCCAAAGATCTTACTGTGATCCAGAGCCAGATTTTGAAATTTGCAAATAGATGTGGTTTGAGTTCCACCTTTGTGTTGCATACCTGTGTGGCCCTGGATAAAATAGCGAGGAGATCAATTATTTTTAACTTTAATCTGCATGTTGTGTCATGTGAACATAGCCTTGAAGTATATTCAAACCAAAGAACATCTTCCATGTTTTGCTTCATGCCTTAAGTTTTATTCGAAGGCAGAGAATATTATCATTATTTAGAGTATTTCTGGAATTTGAAGAAGTTAGGTCATTCCCGTAAATGTCATGGAGACAGGGCTTTAAGTGTCACTCAGTTTCCTTCCTTCCTCTTACTTAAAACGTTGTCATTCACCATCACCCACTACCTTCATGCCATATTCAATATTTATTATGCATCATAAATTTTTGGAAGAGGGACAAGATTCTGGCTATTTCAAAATTATTAATCCTTCCTTAATGGAGACAGTTTGAGAGTCTGTTTCCCACACTACAGACAAAGATTTTGACTGAGCATGCTGCTCAAACTTTAGCAAAAAATAGAAATCATTCATCATAATGTTATATGTGTATTGTTATGGGTTGAATAATTTTGTGGTTAAAGCTTTACTTATAAGCAATGTATCTACATCTATATCTATATGTATTCATGTGACATATGAATCTGCAATGTGAAACCCACAGATACCAATGGTCTACTGTAATTCCACTTATGTTATTTGACATTTGACTTTTCAGTATCAATATATTCCACACTCTAGAATTTTTCTAGTGTACAGAAAAAGTCAATCATGAACTTGGGAAAATTTGTTCTATACACTTGTGGAAAAAATATTTTCTTAGTTTTCAACTTGCTTTCAAAAATAATTGTTTTAATATCATAATTCACTATCCAGTATTCAATGATTATCCACTAAGAGAAAAAAGGATCAAGATGGTGGTTACAAAGGTGCAGGGTCTTGTTTTTTTCTGTCAGGATTAATGTATGCACAACATCAAGCATGTGTCAAGTAGAAAAAGGACTCCAAGGATCAGTAGGTGTAGTGAGATTAGCATTTTCAATGGCTGTTCTTGACTTTGTAAAGGAGTCATTGCCTATCTGGATCCTTTACCTGACCCCAGGAAAAGCTGCTTCAGTTCAGTGTGTCAGTGGAAATATAGGGGAGTGGTCACACACGTTTGCTAATAAGTACTAGGCACTGATATCATTCTCACATAAGATACATGTGCATGGCAAGGAAAAATCCTACAGACTATTCCAACCTTAACTGACTTGTGGGAGAGAAAGAAGTCACACCCCTTCTTTCCTTACATCCATTCTTCACCCAAGTTATAGTTTACTTACAATTAATACTGCATTTTTTCTCCCAGTTCTTGACATTGTCTTTTGGATGACTTACCTCTCGTATGAAGTAGTGGTGGTTTTTGTTATCCCTCTTTTGGCTGCCATTCTCCCCAAACTAAAGCTAAGTGGAACCTTCCAGTCCTCTTCTATTGGAAAAGAACTTGAACCAGTTGCAAAAGATACTGCGGGAAAGCAAAACCCTACTTGTTAAGGAATACACTTTTCATTGTTTTGCCCAGTGTCTTGTGGGTGGGACTTGTATCTATGTTGATGGGTCATTTTTTCTGAAGAAAAAAAAAAAGATAGAAATGCCTCTGGCATGAACAGAAGCATAAGGGGCACTGAGAAACTGTGGAGTGGCTTTTGCACAGCAGAGGTAGACAAAGGTCATAACAAACTTGTCCTGGGCCATATGACTCAAGTCCTGAAGATGTCAGTTGAATAAGAGCTCACTGACTAAGTTCTTCCTCATGAGTCATCCCTCACCCCCTCACCCTCCATTCATCGCCCCCCTTACTTTTCTCATTCCCTAGCTTCACTAAATCTACATTCCACCACTAGTTAGGCTTTTAAAAATGCTCATTTCTAAAAGTGTTTAAAATTTGCAACAATTCAAAGCCCATCCCCAGCTACTTCCCACCCACGTGTCCCTAGAAATAGTACCATACTTCTGTAAATCAAAATTACTGTCTCTCTACGTGTGTGCACATGTGAATGTGTGTGCATGCGTGAATGTGTTTGCATTTGTATGAAAAAGACAATTTTTTAAAAAGGAACAAAAAGTAGAGAATTTTGCATTTTGGTGGTGTTTATGTTTTGTTTTGTTTTGTTTTTTGTATTTGCGCAGACCATTTTAGGATTTGCAGTCTCAACAAAACACTATTAAAACAAAGAATCTAGTAAAATATTTGTGCATGTTCTGCTAAACAATTCTAGCAATTTTATTAAGCAATACCTTTATTATTTTTGAATATTCTTAACAGACTGGAACAAAACATTTTTTTATTCAAAACAAAATATGCATACTGTACGCATGTCGCAGGGTTAAGTATGATGCAGAGATTAAAGTTTGTTTGAACAAAAACAAATGCCTGGGGGAATTTCATAGCTATAAAGTCAATAACTAAATTTTGTTCGCTAAGAGGACCTTTTCTATGGTTTTCCTTCATCTCCCAGCTACACAGCAAACATATCTGAAGTGCACTTCCCAAGTGTAGTTAGAGAATAGGAAGGAATGTAAAGTATTTTTTTTAATTATTTGTTTTGTTTGTTTGGTTTTTTAAAAACAGCCCTTATTAACTCTTCCTTCCACTGATTCTACTGTAAACTCATAAAAGCCTTTTTTTATATAAAGCAAATTCATAGACATTCAGCAGGTGAAATGTTCCCACAAAAAGAAAAAAGTACAAACAGAGCAATCAGATTTCTCCTCTTTTCTTCAACTATCTAGAGCATGTTAGAGTGATACAGTTTTTGCACTTGAATGAAAATGGCTAACCTATTCTTTTTTTAAAAAAAGTTATTTTTTTGTGATAATGCAGAATTGCATACACTTTATACCTGGAATAATTTAAAACCATATGTTGGGGAAATACTGGAGTAAAATTGTGTATATTCTGTATACTGCAGGTGTTTGAGCATCTCTACTATCTCCTTTGTCAACAATAAAGGAGGCAAAATAAATCCAGATGTGTGTTCTTGGCCTCTTTGTCCCCATTACAAGGGCCAAAATGGGCTCCCAGGTTACTGCAACAGAACTGAAGTCACAGTGAAAGTCCACCTTCCGAAGGACTCTCTGCCTCTTCTCACCCTGATGCGAGGTGGCCACTCGGAGCCACCTGATCAGTGAGAAAGGACCGGGGCCTTGGGGAACGGGAGTGGGAGCGAAATAGTTCATGGTAATTTTCTTTGCTTTTATTTTGTTTTCAACATAAAAATGTGTTCAACTGTCTGATTCCACCTATCATGGGGAACACTTGTTTGTTCAGCTAACCCCCTTGTCTGCTCCGTTGTGGGTTTGTGCAACAGTGGCTCAGAGGCCCACTAGAGCGTGCACGCCCATTCACCATGGCCACACAGACAGAAGCAAGCGGATGTTGTCTGCTGAGGGGAGAGAGGAGGGCCAGGGGAGGAAAGGCCGGGGAGGGTGCAGGTTCCCAAGGCAGGAGGGAGAGTTAGGAAATTCTTTTTAATTTTTTTTCTTTTTTTTGTCTTTTTTTTTCTTTTTTATGATTTTTTTTGTTTGTTTATTTTTTGCTATACCACAAAGTCATAGCAATCATTCCTCTAATAGAAACTGACAGGACATAGAGACAGAACTATCTGATGAACATACACAATGACTAGAAATATATATATATATATTAGAGAGAGAAAGACAGTGAAAAGACTTAGTTTACCTCTGAGAAAGCATCCCCCAAAATAAATCCTGTATTAACAAGTGCAAAAAACAAACAAACGAAATCAACCCAAACCAAAACCAAAGCAAATTAAACGTCCAAACATTAAAACACAGTGTATAAAATGGTGTGAGAAATAGAAGTCACTTGGCAGCCTTTCAGTCAATAAAAAGCTGTGTTTGTGTCCTTGTTTGGATTCAGGCCCATCTTTTTCAATGTTACCCTACAGGCCCTGCAAGAAGTGATTGGAGGGTAAAAGCACCCAGTCCCTGTGACATCTGACCAGTTGCGCTTTCATGGTGGGCCAGGGCTGCTCTGGTGACACTTTGTGGTGACACTCTGTCCTTCCACTGTTACTCCTCATTGGCTGAGCTTTCTTCCAGCGTGTTGATGCCTCCAAAGCTCAGTGCCGTGGTGTTCTGTGCTGCTGAGGCTGTGAGCACTGTATGTAAGAGAATCAGTACCAGAACACACAGTTTGAGTCTGCTGTTGCACAGTCTTGTTGCTGAGGAAACTGTGAGCGACGTCCTGTGACAGGAGCCACTGTTGTCCACCGTTCCTTTGGATGGGTTGTTTTTTTGCTCCTGTCTCCTGACGTCACAGCATTCTGGTTCATCATTGGTTAGAAAGGTCTCGTAGAGCCCTGCAGGATGAAGACAGTGGACGGTTAACAGGAAAGGAAGACGTGGGAAGGATCTCATAGTAGAGAGAAGCTGTTACGTCAGTGTTCTGATCCACTAAAATCATACAAGCAATGCAACGTTTTGTAAAAGGAAGGAAGGTCAAGACAGTCTGGATAAATGGCCAACCATTCTCTCAAACCAGCACTTTTAAGTTGTGTTCTTTGTATATTCCTGGTGGTCATACCATGAAAGTTCTGGGTTGTGATGAATATAGAATGAAAGATGTTATTAGATCAAAATCAGAACCTGAGGTTCTGGATCAACTTGGTGACCAGGGACATGCCACCATCCTTTTTCTTTAACAGGAAAATGACTAACTAATGCAATTCCTAAAGTAACATCAACTAGTTGTGCTAAATGAAATAACTAACCAATCAAAATATCATAGCTATAGGAACCATGTTTCCTAATTGTTTCCTCTCTTGAATCTCACTATGTCTTCTATCCCCCTGTCTTGGGGGGCAGATAGAGAATGGGCATAACTATCTACACATCCAATGGGTGACCATTTCCTTTTGATTTATTTTCTAAATGTTTCTTTTATTCTTCCATATGCTATTCTATTGATGATTGCCTAATGGGACCAGTTGAGGCTTAAATGAAATAAATAATATAAATGTATCTTTCACCTGGACCACTACAGGAGGACACTCTCTGATCTTGATTTTCTCCACTTCCAAAAACTATCCTCCCTCAGCATTGCCTTTCAGTGAATACCTGTCCATCTCACACCCTCACTCTCGCACTCTTTCTCTCTTGTTTATTCCCTCCTGGAGAGCTTCTTCTCTTGCTCCCTTCCCCTTTTCCTTCTTCGTTTAAAATTACACATTGTTCTTATTTCACGATTGATAGATGGGTAGTTCTGAAACTTTCAAAGTGGTGAAAAGAGTAAAACAACTGGTGCCCTAGCCAGTGGCTCAGTTGGTTGGAGCATCATTCTATACATTAGAAAATGGTTGTGTGTTTGACTCCCGGTCAGGGCACACCTAGGTTGTGGGTTCCATCCCCAGGTAGAGTGCTTACGGGAGGCAACTGATCAATGTTTCTCTCACATCAATGTTTCTCTCGCTCTCTCTAAAATCAATAAAACATAACCTCAGGTGAGGATTAAAAAAAGAAAGAATAAAATAACTGGCTACTCATTACCTTTCAACATTGTTTCTTGCTATATTATACATATGGCATGTTTTATGTAGTTGCATAAGCCATTTTTTTACTGGACTGAAACATTGCCTCAAACTGACAGAATGAAGTTTCTACACAAATTTTATTATATTACACTCAAGCTTGAAAAACTGAAAAATAAGGATAGAGCAATTGGAAGGATTAAATTAGATTTTGAATGTAAAGTTCTTGGCTCAGTGCCTATCACATAAATATGCTTTAAAAATTGGCTACCATCCTATATATTAAAGAGGTAATATGCAAATTGACCGTCATGCCCTCACACAAGATGGCTGCCCCCATGTGGGCACAAGATGGCCAGCAGGGGAGGGCAGTTGGGGCGATTAGGCCTGCAGGGGAGGGCAGTTGCAGGGGACCAGGCCTCTGGGGAGGACAGTTGCGGGGGACCAGGCCTCCAGGGAGGACAGTTGGGGGCGACTGGGCCAGCATGGGAGCAGTTAGGCATCGATCAGGATGGCAGGGGAGTGGTTAGGAGGTGATCAGCCAGGCAGGCGAGCAGTTGGGAGCCAGCAGTCCCGGATTGTGAGAGGGATGTCAACTGTCGGTTTAGGCCCGATCCCTGTGGGATAGGTAGTCGGACATCTCCCGAGGGGTCCCAGATTAGAGAGGGTGTAGGCTGGTCTGAGGGACACCCACCCCCCCAGTGCACGAATTTCATGCATTGGGCCTCTAGTTAATAATAATAGCAATTAATAGTGTCTCAAGACGCCACATAAATAATAAATCTAAAATATCCTTTCCTCTCTCTCCAGACTCATCGCTCACTGTTCCAGCTATCCTGAACTCCTCCCTGTTCTTTTCAGAACACGTGGTACTTTCACTCAAATCTGTATCATTGTCCAAGCTGCTGGTATATTCTCCATCAACTCATATACCTATTCTCATTTTTTTCTTCAAGTTCAGCTCACAGAAAATTCCCTGTGTGAAGCCTGCACACACATGCCTGGGCTGTGAATGCATTTTGTGTAACTTCAATAGAGCAATTATTATTAGTTCTTTTACTCTCAATTGCTCATTTTCATGTCAATTTCCTTACTCATCTGTCAACTTAAAAGCAAGAACTATATATTTTCAGCTTTGCATTCCCAATGGGTTGCAGAAGACCTGAGCAAAACAGATACTTGATGAGCATTTATTATATGAATAAACTCAATATATATTTATTTAATAAAAATAATCTATTAAATGATATATTATACACTGCAATCTTCAGTTTCTTTGAAATAAATGACCAATATATCCTTATAATGATGCTTACAATATTCATTTCTTCTTAGGCATTCAAAGGTAAACTTCACCTTCGCCTAGATAGAATATGGAAAAAAAACTGAATTAATGAGGTCTGCAGCTGCGACATTTTCATTGTATGATATTTTCTTATATCATATAACTACTGGTAAGACTAATCATTTATTGAAGTATAAGTTTTCCAAAATTATATTCTATACAGAAAAGAGTTTACAGTTAAGATGATAAGAATAGAAATCTAAAGGTCATTTAGATCAATGTTTTAGAATGTTCATAGTCAGAAAATGTTTAATAGTGTCACCCCAATAAGAAGGTCTTCCAAGTTAGCTCAATAGCTAGATTGCTGATTTACAATTATCAGTAAAGTCATTTCAGAAAAGATAAAGATGTTCATTCAAACAAATATATGTATTCCTCTTTTTGACTGACAAAGTGAATACTCTATTTCCCCTGTGCATCTTGTAATTTGAATTTTTATTCAGAGTTATACATGCATGTATTTTAACAACCAAATAATTCTGTAAGACTTCTTACAAAATAATAAAAAAACTCCCCCCCATCCTGAATTCTTTCTTCTTAGAGGCAACTGCCACTCTTTTAGCGTTTCTGTATTTAACACCATATTGTAAATAGCCTACTTTGTGCTTTTCTTGAGTTTTCATTTTGTATGTGAGGATAAAACATTCATTATCCTGTTTCCTCCAGCTTATATGATCCCCACCATACCGCCACCATCCCCATTCCGCCCTGGTAGTGAGTTCAGTGTTCATTCTTTGCTTTATTAGGATGTTGTAAAAAAATGCTAATTTAGCCAAGTAGTAAACTTTAGTTTCCCATTATCAAACCAGTGTTTTCCTAGAGTTAATATCTTACAGTTTTCTATGTACTTATTAATTCAATCCCAAATATTTTACCAGTTATTTCAATTGAGTCAGATGTTCTATCGGTTTTATCGTCCTGAAGAAATATATCCTGGAGCCTATTATCTGGACTGGTTGTTTTTTTAGGCCTGGTACATAGCTACCAGCTTGAAAACCCTAATGAAGCATCATTTTGGGATGTTTGCTACCTCTCTCCTCTGGACTCCCTATTTTCTGTATCCTCTGCCTCCTTTTTCAATTTGGACCATGTCATCTAGTATCTTCATATGGAAAAGCTCATGGGAGTAGATTTCTAAGATGCTGTATGCCTAAAAATGTGTTTATTTTGCTGCATATTTAATTGATTGTTTGGCTGAGTATGGGATTCTGGTTTAGAAAATTGTATCCTTCATATGTACTTGAGCATCACTCCCACATTACGTTGTTGGACGTCTGGGACCTGTCCTTTAATTTTCTTATCTCATCTCTCCTATTTGATATCACTTCATCCGTTGCTCTGTATTCTAGAGGATTTGGTGAGCTTTATCCTGTAATAATTTTATTGAGTTTTTCTCTTTTTTTTCTACCACATTTTAATTTCCACGGGCACTTTTATGTATTCTCAATGTTAGGTTTTATTTTTTAAGTGTTCTCATTTCATAGTTGCAATCTATTCTTTTATTGCTCTCAGATATTTGCAGCTATTTTATTTGTCATGTTTTATTTCCTCTCTGCATAGGCTCTGTTTTCTCCAAATCACTTTGTTGGTTTTTTGTTGTTGTTGTTGTTTGTCTCTTATTTTTTTACATGGGAAGTCTGCACATTCTAGATTGTCTGCTTACATGAAAAAGTATTGGGATCTCGGCACCGAAAAAGGATTGTGAGCTGTGAGCTACACTGTAGGATGACCTGCCTCAACTGCTTTGATGGAGACATTTTTTAAATGATTTCCTTAGGTTGTTTGGGTTACCCAGGAAATATCCAATATCTGTTCAGGAGTGCGAAAGCTGGGGAGCCAGTTTCCTGAGAGATAGATGGGAGAAGGCACTGGGATGGGGTAGAGGCTGAGGGAGAATCTCAACCTTTGGTGTGTATGCTGCACTCACTTCATCCTCATTTTGGGCCCCTACCTTAACTCCTCCTGGGGTCACACAGGACAATAATGTTCTGCAGTCATCTCTGAAAATATAGATCCCATCCCACACGCAAATATTCCAAGTCTTTTCTCTAAGGTGAGGAAGGGGGAATTGCTAGGTTGGAGAGGTGGACACGGGCTATGGAGATGTAACAGCTTCTTAAACATATCTTGTTGCCTCCTCCAAACATCTTCCACTGTCAATTCTTGTGCCTGGAGGGAGTCTGGGAATTACAGATGTGCAGGTTATAAATCTGGTTGATGCTTGGTTTCCTCTCTGCTGCTTCCTGCCCTCAGCGAATCCTTGAGCACGCATCTATGTTCTTTCTTGTGTCTAAGAGGTTTTTGGTTACTGTCTCCTTATCTATTCTTCTATTCTTTTGGATTTATGCCTCAAAACAATTTCTTTTCTTTAGGGTTTGCCTAGAAAATGGTACTGCTTTTTTCTCTATATCATTCCGCTCTGTCTTGAACTCTGACAGATGTCTGCTTCTCTGTTAGATACATTTATGAATAAACAGGACATACAGCC